TGTGTGTGTGTGTGTGGTGTGTGTGTGTGTGTGTGTGTGTGTGTGTGTGTGTGTGGTGTGTGTGTGTGTGTGTGTGTGTGTGTGATTTGTGGTGCTAGATAAACACAGATATTTGCTCTGGCACAATGGGAACAAAGACAGCAGTGTGACCTGGAGAGAGAAAATAACTTATTTATCTTACACAGAACTTTATGTACTCCACGTGCCATAAATCTGCAGTACTATAACACACACACACACACACACCCTTTATAGGTATTGTGTTTGACATGCTTGTTTCTGTGTGTTTCAGGGTCAGACCTTTACTGAGTAAACAGGCCAAAAATCCTCTTTATCCAATCGGATCAAACTCTGTGTGATGGATATGGACATTTATCACAATGCTAATTCAAAGTTATACATTGTATATAAAGGTACGACAAGACACTTGGTGACCATATCTCAAGTTAAATAAATAATATATTTCATACAATATATCAGGTCGAGACCCTTTTTGAACACACACTAATGTAAAAATGTCTCACACACACCTCGCAGAAGGAGATGGGCTCCATTTGTCTCAGGCTTCCTCCTGCAGAGCTAACTCTAGCATTACATTTAGATGGTGCTTAGCAGAGAGGAGAAACAGTGTGTGTGTGTGTGTGTGTGTGTGTGTGTGTGTGTGTGTGTGTGTGTGTGTGTGTGTGTGTGTGTGTGCGTGTCCTCTCTTTTTAAAATGTATCTTTTTTTTATGTTCATCAGATTGCAGAATAAACAAAGTTGCAGCTTTGTTTTTATTTGCTAAATGAATCAACCCCGTCCTTCCATTCCACATCGAATACAACATATGTTCATACGCCAATTATCCAACTGCTAATGTATTTTTTTCAGCAGCTGATTCAGATCAACAACGAGTGACATCCTTAAGTCAGGGCAGAGTCACGGGGTGGAGAGATCTGCGTCCCACATGTTCTCACTTTCAGACCATGAGGTTACAGACTGTGGTTTTGGTTAAATATTTTAAAAAGTAAACATATCCTAACTCGTGCTTCAATCAGTTTTCAAGAGAGTTTTTAATTTTTCACTATTGCACCAAGACCAGGATGTTTTCTTGATCTGAACCTCATCGTGGTTTCGTTGGCCGGAGACGACATTGTAGCTAAACAAATTAAAAAATGTTGACAGAGAGCGCATTGCAGATTTTAGGATGGTTGTGTTTCCGCGACATTAAGCTGCATTCACATGATCAACGGTAAAACTGCTCTGCGCTGACTTTGCCGTCGTGTTTGTATGTAGAGAGCTCTACCCTCTGCTTCGTGGGCCGCCCAAAATTGTCGCCAAGAGCGAAATGATTTCAACTTTGACCTTGTTTACGGCTGATCTTTCGATGTGCAACCAATTATAATTACAGCTGTGTAAAACGGTGCAAGCTAGCAGGCAAGGTTATCTTAGAAATGGATCTTAACCGGCTGTTTTCACTGCAAGGCTCTACTAAGGGAGCTGTTCATAGAGACCACAATGCTTAGCTCCTGACATCAAACTATCAAAAACTGGTTCTAGATATTTACATTTGTACGTTACCTGAAGGAAAACATAGTTCATGACATGCTTGTAAATCTGCGGTAAAGGTTTCCCTAAAGCTGCTTTCCAACCCCTGCACGCTCACTCTGAAGGGAAGCAGTTTGAATCAAGGGGGTAAGGGTATGAAGCGGTTAGCGTTTGGGTAGAAATGTGCAGGTTTGGCTCTGCCAGGTAGAGTTTATGGTGCTTAACTTCTGCCGTTATTACATTACATTACATTACATTACATTACATTACATGTCACTTGTTAGACGCTTTTATCCAAAGCGACTTACATACTCAATACTGTGGACAATCCCCACAGGAGCAATTTGGGGTGAAGTGTCTCAGGGACACAACGACATGCTGACTGCAGTGGGGTTTGAACCTGTGACCCCCCTGATCCGAACACCTACGGACAACCCACTACGCCACACGCCCCCGTTATCAGCCTGTCATTGACCAAGTAGCTTTTAAAAACACTTTGGAGAATGCTATAGTGGCTTTTTGTAGCAGTTTTCATGGTGGCTGGCAGGCGTGGGTGTAAAGCAGCTTAAGTTGAGCATGAATCCTTTCATCTGTTTGCAAATGAATTGTACATAATATTTAGGAGACAGGGTTGTTGCAATCATCTCTTAATCAGGGGCGGCAGGTTTAATATTAAAAGTAATATCTGACATCTATATAGCGTTTTTAACAATGCTCAATAAATAATAATAATAATGCATCACATTTTTTATTAGAGCGCTTTTGCAGGTGCTCAAAGCGCTTTACAATTACACATTACACATATTAGACATGTAAGAGTCATTACTGTGGACATTACCCACAGGAGCAAATTCGGGTGAAGTGTCTTGCCCAAGGACACAACGGCCTGACGATTTGCTCAACTCCTTGACTCTGCTGAAGTGCTCTTGAATCACCAGAAAACAGAGACAAGAGGTGCTGCTATTGAGGCGACATGTGACCCGTTGTGGTGCAGACTGAGGATCTTTGAAGACAGAATTCAAAAATAATAATCCCTCTGTGGTTTCATCTGAAGATCCTCAGTGTGCTTCATCATGAGACGGCTGTAAAGCAGCTGAACAGGCTGAGTCTCAGCCAGCTGCGGACGAGAATCACAGACGCCGCATGAAGTGAGTTATGAGAAGATGACCTCAGACTCTTTCCACATCTCCTCTCCTCTTTTATACGCAGTGACATCACCGACCTGTCCTCTCTTATCAGCTCCCTCCTCTCCATCTGCTTTTCACACTCACATACACTACTCCCTATGTGTGTGTGTGTGTGGGGTTATTTATGGCATGTGTGTGTGTGGAAGAAGGGGAGGATAGATGGATGGACAGCGAGAGAAAGAGGGAGAGGCCGAGGATGACGCAAACCCTCTCTAAGCCATCCACTGTCACCTTGAAGTGTGTGTTTAATAGAGGGTGCGTTCATAAAGTGTGTTGGAGGCGTGAGGATGTGTCAGCGGGACACCTGGCTATCAGGGCGGGGACATCAGGGCGGGGACATCAGAGCGGGGACATCAGGGCGGGGACATCAGGGCGGGGACATCAGAGCGGGGACATCAGGGCGGGGACATCAGGGCGGGGACATCAGAGCGGGGACATCAGAGCGGGGACATCAGGGCGGGGACATCAGAGCGGGGACATCAGGCGGGACATCAGAGCGGGGACATCAGAGCGGGGACATCAGAGCGGGGACATCCAGAGCGGGGACATCAGGAGCGGGGACATCAGGGCGGGACAATCAGAGCGGGGACATCAGGGCGGGGACATCAGAGCGGGGACATCAGAGCGGGGACATCAGAGCGGGGACATCAGGGCGGGGACATCAGAGCGGGGACATCAGAGCGGGGACATCAGAGCGGGGACATCAGAGCGGGGACATCAGGGCGGGGACATCAGAGCGGGGGACATCAGGGCGGGGACATCAGAGCGGGGACATCAGAGCGGGGACATCAGAGCGGGGGCATCAGGGCGGGGACATCAGGGCGGGGACATCATAGGGGGGACATCAGAGCGGGGACATCAGAGCGGGGACATCAGAGCGGGGACATCAGGGCGGGACATCAGGGCGGGGACATCAGAGCGGGGACATCAGAGCGGGGACATCAGAGCGGGGACATCAGAGCGGGGACATCAGGGCGGGACATCAGAGCGGGGACATCAGGGCGGGGACATCAGAGCGGGGACATCAGAGCGGGGCATCAGGGCAGGGACACAGAGCGGGGACATCAGAGCGGGGACATCAGAGCGGGACATCAGAGCGGGGACATCAGGGCGGGGACATCAGAGCGGGGACATCAGAGCGGGGACATCAGAGCGGGGACATCAGAGCGGGGACATCAGGGCGGGGACATCAGAGCGGGGACATCAGAGCGGGGACATCAGAGCGGGGACATCAGAGCGGGGACATCAGAGCGGGGACATCAGGGCGGGGACATCAGAGCGGGGGCATCAGAGCGGGGACATCAGAGCGGGGACATCAGGGCGGGGACATCAGGGCGGGGACATCAGAGCGGGGAC